AATAACATTTCATGTGGTGACCTCATCATACAATCTTCAACAAAAACTCGTAAGTTGAATTGATTATTCCTCAGGAGATGAGAGAGAGATGGTAATTGAGATGGGCGCCTCTGAAAAGATTGATCAGATTCCTGTCCCGTTCTAACCAGATTGTCTTGAAGACCATGGGGAGAGACTGGAATGGCCCACCAACCTGAGATTGTATTCGGGCTTTCACAACATTAATCGGGAAGCTTAAGAACCCCAGCATGGCACCCAGCACACCTCCACAGATAAAGTCATTGACCAAATGCGCACCATTCGTAGTGGCAGTAGGCAGATGCTCCTTAATTGGCCCTCGAAGGCCAAAAAAAAGGACATTGCTGAATCCATTCCGGAAAAGGATAGGTACCAAGCCTCGGTAATACTCTGCAATTCCATGGCATCTCAGGGCCCGGAAGGCCTGGTATGTGTTTGTGAATTTATCATGATGCTTATGGTCCTGCAGCAAAGTCTGAACTCTTTCAAATGGAGTGAGAATGGCTTCTGTTGTCCCAGCAAGTACTGCTGCCACACTTCTGGTGGCAAACTCGGGAGCAGTGCTCACATGCTTACGGAGCAGACGTGACAGATCCTCATACAAACCAAACATGAGTGCCAGTGTGGTTGACTTCTGCATCAGTGGGGGCAGGATCCCACGATCCAGGTTTCGAAACCCATCCCTCCTCAACTGGAGTATTGCATCCGTGGTTTTGATGCCATACAGCTGCTGCCGAAAGAGGATCTTGTGAACTGGGTATGTGATCGCCACATTGCTGAATGCTGCGCAGCAGCCACAGAAGTAATGCTTTATCTCCCCCACGTTCGCAATATGAGGAGACAAATCCTGGTTTGAAGAGGTCAACATTGGGGGCCTCTTATCATGTGCTTCTGAGTCCATCATGGTGCTTCTGATCTTTCTTCTTTAGGAAATTTTTTTAGCCTATAATCAATGATAAAGGTGTTACAAAGAGTAAAACACACAAACTTTGCCCCAGTCCTTTCTCCAATTTCCAGACTCTATATTTTCCCTCTAAAACTGGACTAGTAATACTGTGTTTTTAAATTTAAAAAAACTACTTTTACTAATTGTACATATTAATGAGGCTCAGTGTGTGTGTTATTTCTACATATGCATACAGATACAACAGATCAATAGTCTGTTTTCTGTGGATTTTTTGTTGTTGCTGCTGTTGTACTTTTGAAATAAGAGTCTTATTATATATATAGCCCAGGCTGGGCTTCACCGCATAATCTTCAGTACCAGAAGTACAGGCCCACACTTGCATGCCTAGCTTCAGATCTCTGATGTTTAGAGTTATTTCAGAGTACTAGGAGTCCTGGGGTCTTCCCTTTTGAACTGCATATTTATATGAGACTTGACTTCCACCCAAACAACCCCTATAAGCAGACTGAATGAAGAAACATACAGAAGACTGTCTGTTAGTCAGTCAGGAATGAAGTACAGAAAATTCTAAAACACATTTGCCTCATGGAAAAGAATGGGGCACATAATGCAATAGTTATTTTTCATAAAAATGTGATATTAACAGGCCACAGGTTTATCATTTCTTTGTTAGCAGTAATTACTATTTAAAATTTGTTTTAATCCTAAAACCTTGAATGTCAACCCATATAAGCAAAAGTTTTCTGAGGGTCACAATAATTCTTTTTTTAGTTTTTCTGAGACAGGGTTTCTCTGTGGCTTTGGAGGCTGTCCTGGAACTAGCTCTTGTAGACCAGGATGGTCTCGAATTCACAGAGATATGCCTGCCTCTGCCTCCCGAGTGCTGGGATTAAAGGCATATGCCACAACTGCACGGCTACAATAATTCTTTAAAAATTTTAGAAAGTCCCAAAACAAGGGATGCCAAGATCACTGACCCACAGTTCCTAAATACTGGCCATTCTACCTAACAATATTGCTTCATCATCTTACTGAAACAGACTCAGTTTTCCCATGAACTACCGGGCTCATTTTTAACTCCAGCAACAGAGAAACAGAGGCAGGAGGAACACTGAAAGTTAAAAGGTTAGCCTACATAGCCAAGTTTCAGGCTAGCTAGGGCTTCGAGTGAGACCCTGTCTCAAAAAAAAAAAAAAAAAAACAAAACAAAATAAAAAACAAGACAAAGTCGTTACAGGAGATATAGCAGCAAATTATCTCATTCGCTCAACTCGTTTTACAATTATTTCTTACCTGTGAACTTTGGTCTTCTGCTAGACATTGGATCCTCAATAAAGCCACGGACTAGTCAGAATCTGCCAAGTAAGCAAGTCCATAACAATACATTAATGTCTATGATAACTAAGCATCTGTGGGCACAGGCTGCATATTTTGGGATATAACAGCTTATAAGAGAATGAAGTTAAGGTATGTACTATGCTCTATTTTGTTATGATAAATCTTTCTGACAAAAGCTGCCCGAGCCCTACGGCCATGTGGGCAGTCTCCGCCAGCCGCCCGAGTTCTGCCCACCACGTGGATGGACAAAATGATACAGAGACTTATATTAGGTACAAATTCTGCTTGGCCAATGACTAGGATTCTCATCTGTTAGCTCAGTCTTTTTTTTTTTTTTTTTTTTTTTTTTGGTTTTTCGAGACAGGGTTTCTCTGTGTAGCTTTGGAGCCTATTCTAGCACTGGCTCTGGAGACCAGGCAGGCTTCAAACTCACAGAGTAGCTCAGTCTTAATTATTATAAATCTATATATTTTATAAGACTTATCTTATCGGACACCTTCCATTGGTGTCCTCCCTTGCCAGTGGATCAGATCGCGCAGCTGGAGGAAGAGTGGAGGGGAAAAGGGCTACTTCCTGTTTGTCCTTGCTTAAATATGAGTCTCCTGCTATGTCACTTCCTGCCTGGATCACCACTTCTCTACTACATTTCCCAGAATCCTCTTTGACTCCTAGTCCCGTCGAACTTGCTGCCTCATTGGCCAAACAGCACTTTATTTAACAATCAATAAGATGAACATACACAGTACATTCCCCATCACTATTTTTTCATTTAAGTCTTCAAACTATAAAGTGATTTTTCTAATTTTATATGTGAAAAAGAACCCCACTGATGCACATTGTTTCAAGACAACTAATAACTGGTAGGGCCAAAATATGAGGTCTGTTTGACACTAGTTTCCACCTTTTCACACATGGCAATGACTTTGGAAAAGCTGCCCTGGGGTCACAGTGGGTCTGTTTGATAGTGAGATGGAGATCTGAAGATACATACACAGTTTTGCTCTCACTGACAGGAAGCAAAGTCCTAGCTCTATGCCTGTTTCCACAAGATGTACTGTCTCCTCCCAGTCTAAGCCCTAAGCCTTGGTGGCTCAGCAGTAAAGAAAGGTGCCTGCCACCAAGCCTGATGACCTGAGTATGATCCCTGGAACCCACATGATGCAAGGAGAGAACTGACTTCCACAAGTTTTCCTCAGACTTCATCATAACATGTGTGTCACCCCTACACGAGATAAATAAAAACGTAATTTAAAAATATTTAAAAAGAAAATTAACAACAAAAATAGTCAAATAGCTGGTTCTAGCTAGGCCTGTCGGTTTCCTGTAATCCCAGCACTCAGAAAGCTGAAGCAAGAGAACTGCAAGTTTGGGGCTAGCTTGGCTATAAAGCAAGATTCCACCTCCCAAATACATCCCAAGGACCACCCTTATACTTGGGGATAAAACAGTAATTTGACTATACTTTACATTTTTAGTATTTTTAAATTGTCCCCCCCACCAAGGTAAGGTTTCTCTGTGTAACCCTGGCTGTCCTTGAACTTAGAGTCCATCTTCCTCTACCTCCTGAGTGCTGGCATTAAAAAGATGCTCCACCATGCTCTATTTTATTATTTACCTAAGTACATTTGCATGCACTTGCTAGCAGGCTAGCAGAGTATGTTGGATCATCCCCTGGACCTGGAGTCATAGGTGGGTATGAACCCCCAACATGGGTACTCTGAAAGAGTAGCAAGCACTCTTAACCATGGAGCCACCCCTCAAAGGCCCTTATTTATTTATTTATTTATTTTGGCCCTTATATTTTTTAATGGACTAATTCTTCTATAGTAAGAGACCACATTTAACAAATAAGCAGCAAAATAGTAAATAACCCAATTTAAACATGAGCAAAGGACTTGTGGCAGAGGCAGAACCACTGCTGGAACAGTGGTTCTCAACCTTCCTAATGCTGCAACCATTTAATACAGTTTCTCGTGTTGTGATGACCCCCAACCATACAATTATTTCATTGCTACTTCATAACTGTAATTTTTCTACAGTTATGAATTGTAATGCAAATATCTGACATGCAAGATATCTGATATCCAACCCCTGTGAAAGGGTCATTTGAACCCCCAAGGGGGTTACAACCCACAGGTTGAGAACCACTGTTATAGACATTCACAAGTAGCCTGGAGCAGCTGGACAGATCACACCTCAGAAACAAGGTGGAAGCAGAGAACTAATATCCAAAAGTTGTTCTCTGACCTCCTCAGCCACAACAGGGCATGTGCATGCACACATATACAAATACATTTTAAAAAAAGACAACAAAAATCCAACAACAACAAAACACAAGCACTAGTGGACTGTGACATAGGAGCCCTGGTGCAGTATTAATGGGACTGCAAATGGTACAATGCTATGGACAAACAGTACAGTGGCTCTTGGTAAATGCCAACTACAACTGTCAAGTGACCAGCATCTCAGATGCAGGTGTGTAACCTATGCTCATAGAGCACCACTCAAGAGGTGGGAAGGTACAAACCTGAGCCACACTGCAAGGTATTCATAGGAAATAAAACTGGTCAGACAAACTAGGTCTTTGATTTGAACAAAAACAAAAGCCTCTTAAACTCTTCCAGTTTTCCCTCCATTACCATACCACACTATGCTGCTGAAAACTGCTAACAGTCACAACAAAAACATTAAAGAGAAAGCAGAAGGCAGAACCCAGGCCCAGAGGAGAACCAGAAGCTGCAGACATAATGGGATACAGCACACATATTTGTAGTCTTCCTTCTAAGAACACAGCTTAGAGGAATTATTTAGAGTCTCCTGCAACAGTAGGAACCTGCACTTCTCTAGCTCACCTCCTGCACCTACAATTGGAACTTTTCTTGAACTATGGTCAAATGCTCTTAGGTAGCTATGAAATAGCCACAGAGCCTATGTAATACACAAGAGCCTTAGAACCCACTAGTTTCCTGAATCAAAAGCCCAGCTCTACCACATGTGTACCTGTGAGCTTTGGAAAATCATAGTTGCATTGTTTATAAGACACAGAATTTACCTTCCTCAGAGACTAGCTCAATTCACTGAGTTAATAAATGGAGAGCATCCTTGAGTGGTCTGGAATACAGACAGTGCTCAACAAGGCTGAATTATGTTTTTTCTGAAGTACTTATTTGATATATAGGTGTTCCTCAGGTTGTATCCTGATAAATCCATTACCATATAAAAATATGTCAGAAATGCATTCATCTATTTTTGGTGCTGGGGATTGAAGCCAGGGCCAGGGCTTCATTCATGCCAATCACATGGTCTACCACTGGGCTTTACCCCCAGTCCCTGAAGAGATTTAATACACCTCACCTACTGAACACCATATTTTAGTAAGGGAGTACTGCTTGTTTACTGCTGTGATTGTGTGGCTAATGGGAGCTGTGGTTCACTACTTCTGCCTTTAGCAAAAGAGCACAGTGCAACTTAGATCACAAGCCAGTGAAATTATTTAAGGTGAAGGTCCCACTAAGCATGTATTACTTTTGCACCATCAAAAAGTCAAAAAGCCGGAAGTAGGACTGAAAATGTAGCTCAGTCCTGCACAGAAGAGAAAGCCAAAGCCCTGTAAATGGAGCTACTGCAAGTCCAAGACTATACCTCTAGCCCCAGGATACAGAGATGACCCTACTGACTATGGTCAAATATCCTTTTAGCTAAATAACATTTGCCAAGATTTGTTTTGGTTTTTGGTGCATGCTAAGCCAGGGCTCTGCCACTAAGCCACCCTCCCAACTTCTACTTGCTAACATGACATTTTATTTTTCACTTCCCACCACTGTTCCCTAGAGATCCGAGTTAGTAGCTGCTCCACTGGCTTTGTAAGAGCAAATCGGGGATCTCTCTCATTACACTATGGACAATTTAAATGCTATCACCATTTCATTATTCAGTACTTCAAGTTTATAAGAATTCACCTGTGACATCCACTGAGGCTGGCACTGATGATGACAGCTTTCTGGTAACTTTCCCAGTGTTTTCCATTGTTAGCCTTCTTTCTTCTGGAGTCAATATTGGTAACTGCATTTCCCTTAAAAAAAAAATCTGGTTTAATTTCTATACTCTTTTAAAGTTCTTGTTTTTAAAGAATATGTCCATATCTGTTCCTTTTTTCCTTGAGCAGAGTAGTCAGTTGTTAATGTCCCTATACCCAACAAAGAACCAACTCTTCATTGACTGCCAACACTCTTAGCCATATCCGCAGTCCCAAAACAAATATTTCAACAATATCTCATGTGATTCCAAACCTCTACAGAGCATGAGACAATATTATTTTCCTTTCTTTTTATTTTTTAAACTTATGTGTCTGGGTGGGTCTATGCATATAAGTGCAGGTACCTGGAGAGGTATCAGACCCCCTTAGTAGTTAAGAGTTATAGGGGCTGTGAGCCACCTGATGTGGGTGCTAGGAATCCAAGTCAGGTATATGCCTTAACTCTGAGGCATCCTGCCAGAGGTTTATAACTTAATACAGTGAATGTAAAATAATGTTCTATAGGCACTGGAAAGGCAGGTCTGCCAAATGCAGGGTCTGTTAATGATCAGGTGTTTGATCTTCACCATCCATGCTTTTTACTGCTCCATAGGCATGAGATAAAAAACTTTTGTTAGTTTGAGACCAAGTCTTACTTTATAGCCTGGCCCAGCTTAGCCACAACTCATAATCCTCCTGCCTCAGCTTTTAAATGCTGTAATTATAGGTACTACCAGGTCTGTCTAAAAACTGGTTTTTGTTTTGAGACAGGGTCTCTCTATGTTACTCTGGCTATACTGGAACTCTATGCAGACCAGGCTGGCCTCAAACTCACAGAGATCTCCCTGCCTCAGCCTCCCAAGTGTTGAGATTAAAGGTGTGTGCCATCACACCTGGCTAAAAAAGATTAGTAGCACTATACTTAACAGTATAAGACTAGCTAATGTTTGTCAATCTTAGACTAAATAAGATTTTAAAACTTAAAACCTGGCACAGAAATGCCTGGTATTATATAATGTCTTGTTTTATGTGTTTTTTTATGATTTTTTTAAAAGATTTTATTTATTTATTTATTATGTACACAACATTCTGCTTCCATGTATATCTGCACACCAGAAGAGGGCACCAGATCTCATAAGAGATGGTTGTGAGCCACCATGTGGTTGCTGGGAATTGAACTCAGGACCTCTGGAAGAGCAGTCAGTGCTCTTAACCTCTGAGCCATCTCTCCAGCCCATGTTTTTTTTTTTTTTTTTAAGCTTCATAGTTAACATTAAAATCAACAATAATTCCCAAGTGTCATTTGTTCAGACTTTTACTCTCGGCATTCAGAGGCAGAGGCAGGCGGATCTCAGTGAGTTCGAAGCCTGCCTGGTCTACAGAGTGAGTTGCAGGATAGCTAGAACTGTTACACAGAGAAACCCTGTCTCAAAAAACAAAAAGCAAAAACAACAACAACAAAAAACAAACAAAAAAAAATTTTTTTTGTTCATGTCTGGGGATGTTCAGCAAAAATGCTTATTACCTACTCCTCAACACTGCAAAACAAGCAAAGACCATATTTACATTTTGTGTTTACAGAACTGGGTCCTTCTGTTACTTTACAAAATTTTGCAAATTAAAGTTGCTCCATTAGGCCAGGCATGGTGCACATCTTTAATTCCGGCACTTGGGAGGCAGAGGCAGTCAGATCTCTGAGATTGAGACCAGCCTGGTGTACAAAGTAAGTTCCAGGACAGCCAGGGCTACACAAAGAGACCCTGTCTCAGAACCCCCACCCCCTCAAAAGTTGCTCCATTCAATCAGTTATGGCCATAATAATGGGCCTTGTTAGTGAGCAAACAGAAAACAGCCTAGGCAGTCAGTTATTTACGGACCTCTCTACAAACTAGGTAAGAAAATTTAAGAATATTGTTGAATATTTAGATTACTAAATATTAAAAGTCCTATACAGAAAAGAAGTATTTTGCCCGGGGTTGATGGCCCACGCCTTTAATCCCAGCACTCGGGAGGCAGAGGCAGGGGGATCTCTGTGAGTTCCAGGCCAGCCTGGTCTACAGAGTGAGTTCCAGGACAGCCTCCAAAGCCACAGAGAAACCCTGGCTCGGGGGGAAAAAAAAAAAAAGAAGTATTTCTTGTTTATTTTTCGAGACAGGGTTTCTATGTAGCCCTGGCTGTCCAGGAACTTGCTCTGTAGACAAGGCTGGGATTAAAGGGGAGCACCACCATGCCTGGCAAAAAGTAATGTTTTGAAAACACTTAAAGCTCTTCCTGTAAACTGTACTCCACCCATGAGGGTGTGACTAGTTTTGAGCCTAGCCTTTAACAGCTGAGCCATTTCTACAGCCCATGCCCAGGTTCTTAAAGCAGCAATAGAAGGAAAGACATCGTACTGGTACTGGTACATCGTACAGTGTACTGGTAGAAGTTTAGAATATAGGCACAAGCAAGCTGTCTCGTAGGAGCTTTCTGCCAAGGTGATAACCTGAATTCAATGCCAGTAACTCACATTGTGGAAGAAAGAATGATTCTGGAAAGTTGTTCTTGGACCTTCACAAGAAAGGGGGCACATTAGAGCCCCATCCCCAATTTTTTTTTAACTTAAGACATGGCATGCTTGATTACTATATTCTGAACATGAATAAAGCATGCTAAACTGGCTGCTACTTAAATTTGTAGTAATGATCATCCTTTACAGTTTACTACAAATTTATTTACCATAACTGGCTTGCTACACACAGCACTTAACGTATTACAAGATAAGGGAGCAAATTAACTTTCATCTAACAAGGGTCAAACTTCTGAAATGTAAGAAACAGTGTAAATCCTAAACACTCAGTGTAACTTGCAGCCCATAAGGATATGCAAAACCCAAATGTGACCTTAATACAAAGGTCTTTGTCCAAAAACAGGGCAAAGGGTGACTGTAATTCTCAAAGGATGTGAATTTCCACTAGTCAGCAGGTCTGAGTCAGCATTTAAAATCAAGGATAGCCAGGGTTCAAGTACTAGTTAGAGCAAGACTTTGCCATTGCAAATACTAAAGCAACATCTGTGACGAAAATCCACTATCTTAACTTAGACCAGAGTCAATTCTTGTCAGAACTGTTATGTCGACCTAAGAAGTGCTAAGGGTGACTCTGGCTTGTTTCTCGTGTGTCCTGGGCCCTTTTTTTC